ACCAAATGATACTGATGAAATTAGTTGGAAACTTTACAAAATAGATTAAGATTTCAGCTGTTAATGAAGTCATAATTATGGGTGATTTGAATTTCAGGCATATAGAGTGGGAAATGCTAATGAAAAAGGTTTGTGATTTGTTTTTTATTTCCTGCAAAGCTACAAGAGTGTTATCTGCACTAACCATACCAAATTTAGCATTGTAAGATTAGAGGGAAGGGAGCAAGTCATCACCACCCATCGCCAACTCTTGGGCTACTCTTTTACAAACGAATAGCGGGATTGACTGTCACATTGTAACGCCCCCACGATTGAAAGGGCGAGCATGTTTGGTTTGATTCGAACCCGTGACCCACAGATTGCGAGTCGAGCTCCCTAACCACCTGACCATGCCGGGCCATAAGAGGAAAAAAGGTTTTTGGAAACTGTTCAAGGTAGCTTTTCTCACCAATTAGTCAAGGAAACTACTAGAAACAATGCTATTTTACATTTATTGTTAACATCAAATATAGAAACGATTGAGAGGATGGAAATTGGGGAACATCGGGGAGCAAGTGATCATTTCTCTATTAGGTTCAATGTTTTGCTGCATATGGAGATAAGGAATACTGGTATTTTGGTTTAAAATTTCAAAAAAGCAAATTTTGAACGGATGCGACAAGAATTATCTGTTGTGAATTGGACAGCTGAGTTATTTGGAGACACTGATCACATGGGGAAAATTTTTAAATAATCAAGGTAAACATATTCCTTATATAAATAAATGGGCAGATGAAAGTAAAAACCCGGTTGGCTCATAAAGAGAATAAGAGATAAAATTAAAGAAAAGCATAATAGGTTTAAGAAATTTAAATTGACTGGTATGACGGGAGATTTAGAAGATCAAGAAAGTTGGTGAAACAAGAAATTAGGACATCAAAAAGGTTGTATGAGAAACGGTTGGCTAAAAATGTAAATATTAATAGCAAGGATTTCTTTAAATACATTAATGGTAAACAAAATGTTAGGATGGGGGTAGGGCCCTTGAGGGATCATAAAGGAAAGCTCGTATCTGATGATTATGAGATGGCTGGGTTATTAAATTTTTCTTTTTCTTCTTTTTTTACTAACGAAGATTTAAGCAGTATTCCACATCTGAATCAGTTGATAGATGGAAACAAGACCAAACAAGGTGACTGTATTAATTCTGAGCTGGTCAAAAAAAAGGGAAGTTTAAAGAACGATATGGTTCCTGGGTCAAATATTTCCCCAAGGGTTTCGAAGGAGGTTAAATATTGGATATGTGAGCCAACTGCTACTATTTTTTCTCAGTACTTGAAAAGTGGGCATGTACCAAAGGATTGAAAGTTAGCTAATGTAACTCCTCTTTTCAAGAGAGGTAATAAAAATTGTCCCAGTAATTATAGGCCTATTGGTCTTTCATCAGTTGTGGAAAAAGTTTTGGAAAGTCTGATAAAAGATACTTTGCAAAGTCATTTAACAGAGTTTAGAATTTTGTTGGATAGCCAACATGGTTTCATTAAGGAAAAATCTTGTCTTACAAATCTTCTGACATTCTTTGAAAAGGTTACTGCTTATGTAAATGAGGGTAAG